TGAAGCCAGAATTGAAACTCAAGGCTTCCTTATTCTCCTGACTTTTAAATAATAGTAGCTAATACAGAATGTTAAGAAAACACAGTGCAGGCCAAACAAAATAGATGTGCAGGCTACATCTTGCCTGTGAGTCACAAATTTTTACTTTTGTGTTAGTTGAAAGGAGACAGGTTGTTAAAATAGCGTGGTGGTTAAAAGCAGGGACTGTGGAGCCATACTACCAGGGTTGCCATTCAAACTTGGCCATTTACTAACTAACTCTGTGACCTTAGGTAAGCTACTTAATCTGTCTGCTCCTCAGTTTGCTTGTTTGCAAACTGGGCATAATGATAGTATGTATCTTGTAAGATTGTTATAAGGATTAAAAGTGTGTGAATGTATGTGTAGGTGTGTGTGTGTGTGTGTTGTGTGTGTGCGCGCACGTGCACGTGTGCAGTCTCTTAGAAATAGTGCCTGGCATGTAGTAAATACTATGCAAGTATGTGAAATAAAACAAAATAAATAAGTCCTAAGCTTCTTTTCAGCTTTTAATATTATATCACTAAATAAGAACTTATAGAAAGCTGATCATTTACACTGATTCTAACTTGGTCTTTTTTTAAATTTTTATTTCAGCATATTATGGGGGTACAAATATTTAGGTTATGTAAATTGGCCATGCTCCCCTTCCCCCTCGAGTCAGAGCTTCAAGTGTGTCCATCCCCCAGACAGTGCACATCGCACTCATTATGTTTCTATATACCCATCCCCTCCTCCCTGCTTCCATCTGCCCAACGCCCAATGAATGTTATTCCTATATGTCCACTTAGGTGTTGATCAGTTAAAACCAATTTGCTGGTGAGTACATGTGGTGCTTATTTCTCCATTCTTGGGATACTTCACTTAGTAGAATGGGTTCCAGCTCTATCCAGGAAAATACAAGAGGTGCTATATCACCGTTGTTTCTTAGAGCTGAATAGTACTCCATGGTATACATAGACCACATTTTATTAATCCACTCATGTATTGATGGACACTTGGATTGTTTCCACATCTTTGCAATTGTGAATTGTGCTGCTATAAACATTGGAGTGCAGATGTCTTTTTTATAGAATGTCTTTTGTTCTTTTAGGTAGATGCCCAGTAATAGGATTGCTGGATCAAATGGTAATTCTATTTGTAGCTCTTTGAGGTATCTCCATATTACTTTCCACAGAGGTTGTACTAGTTTTGCAGTCCCACCAGCAGTGTAGGAGTGTTCCTATCTCTCCGCATCCACACCAACATTTATTGTTTCGGGACTTTTTGATAAAGGCCATTCTCACTAGGGATAAGTGTTATCTCATTGTGGTTTTGATTTGCACTTCCCTGATGATTAGAGATGTGATTCTAACTTGGTCTTTACTTCAGTTTGCTGATCTGTGCCTCAGTTTACACATCTGCACAATGGGGATAGTAATGGTGCCTGCCTCATATAGTTATTGTGAGGATTAAATCAATTTTATATAGAGAGTTAATGTATCTAAAGTACTTAAAATATTTTTTTGCACAGAGTAAACACTATATAAGTGTTAGGTGTTATCATTATTAATGTTTAAAAGATTTCTTGGCAAAACTTACGTGAGTCAGTACTGAGAAACTCCCAAATATGTTTAATAATGCTTACAATATGGCTTTGATCTTAGGAGCAACGTCCATACCATAATAATAAAGTTCAACTTTTGATCCTTCAATTAATCATCCAAAAAAGCCAAAATGGTGAGGTTTGAGAATAGAAAACGCCCTAGTCATTGCATAGTCTTTTTAGTGCATCTCAATGCCAGACAGTGATGAACAAGAAAAATAGTTTAAACTTGTATCTATGAAGGCAACTAATGAAATTTATTTCAAGAGCTCTTTCTGCATTTTCTACAATATCACTAAGAAGGAAGTGAGAAAAGTTCAAACTCTGATGCAGAATTTATTAAAAGAGAGTTCTATATTGGAAAAGAGGGTCATCTCCTCCCTCTCTAGTTCATCCCTGTCTACCTGACTGTTGCTTTATAAGTATGTAAGAGAAGGAAGTTATAATTGGAGTCAAGGCCTGGGATTGAAAAAAGCAGCACCTCACCATAATTTGTCAGGTGAGAAGACTCTGGTATGAAAAAATAAAAGGGTCTTGATTTATTAAAAAACCCCAATGGCAATCACAGCAACAACACAAATAAATAAATGGGACTTGATTAAATTAAAAAGCTTCTGCTCAGCCAAGAAAATAATGAACAGAGAAAATAGACAACCTACAGAATGGGAGAAAATACTTGCAACTATACATCCAATAAAGGACTAATAACCAGAATCTACAAAGAACTCAAGCAAGTCATAAAGAAAAAATTCGAACAACCCCATTAAAAAGTGGGCAAAAGACATGAACAGAGCTTCTCAAAAGAAGACAAATGACCAATAAACATATGAAAAAATGGTCAATAACACTAATCATCAGGGAAATGCAAAGTAAAACCATAGTGAGATATCACCTTACCACAGTCAGAATGGCTTCTACGAAAAAGTCCAAAAACAATAGATGCTGGAGTGGATGCAGGGAGAAAGGAACATTTTTACAGTGTTGGTGGGACTACAGATTAGACAATCTCTATGGAAAATAGTATGAAGATTCCTCAAAGAACTAAAAGTCAACCTACCATGTGATCCAGCAATCCCACTGCTGGGTATTTACCCAAAGGAAAAGAAGTGATTTTCTCAAAAAGACACATGTACTTGATTGTTTACTGCAGCACAATTCTCAATTGCAAAGATGTGAATCAACTCAAATGCCCATCAATTCATTAGTGAATTAATAAAATGTGGTATATGTATACCATGGAATACTACTTAGCCACGAAGAAGGATGACTTAATGCCTTTTGAAACAATTTGGATGGAATTGAAGAACGCCATCCTCAATGAAGTATCTAAAGAACGGAAAAATGAACACCCCATGTACTCACTATTAAATTGGAATGAAATTGGAACTAACTGATGAGCACACATGTGCATAGAGGGAAGTATAACTCAATGGAACTCAAGTAGGTGGGAGAGGAAAGGAGAGGATGAGTGAGAACCTACCTAATGGGTACAATGAACACTATCTGGGTGACGGGCACATTTTTAACCCTGACTGAAGCATTACAAAAGTGATCCCTATAATCAGAAACATTTGTACCCCATAATACTTTGAAATAATAAATAAATAAATAAATAGTCTTGGAAGAACATGGGAGTGAGGGGAGGAGATGTCCAACAGGACCAGAGTCCCAATGTGAGGGGAGTGGAAATATTCTGGAGTCCCACACTGAATGAGTAGGGAACATAGTAGGTCACATGGTTAAAGATGGTGGCAGCGGGACTCTAGTGTTGAAATGACAATAAATATTACTGCAATCTCTCTTGAGAAGAGACGAGGATTCTTCTCATGTGTGAGAAGATGAGCATAAGGGAGATTTTACTTTGAGTAAAGCAGGAGTTCTATTGTAATAAGACAGGATATAATATGAAAACTCTATTGTGAGTTAATGAGAACATTACAAGGCCTTTAGTGATAAGTATGGGTGACTGGGGAGAATCCAAGTGGGAAATATATAGGGGAGGAACTTGGGATTTGTGTTGGAAAATTTTGTGGATTTCTGAGTTTGAATGCACAAGCTATACTGTGGGAACTATTTTATAAATAAGGAGGGGATGGAGCACTCCCTAGTGTGACAGGACAGGGTACAAGGGAAAAACCACAGAATTATAAAAGGGGTGTTCTAATGAGAGGGAGCAAGAAATGATATTTCTATTGGGAGGGATAGAAAATATTAGAAGCCTCAGTGGGAAAGAATGGGATTTCCTCAGTTTGAGAAGACAGGGAACAAATGCAATTCTAGGGAGGATTAAAAAAAATACTAGGAAACCCCAAATGAAGAGGAGGGCAGAATGTGGGGCTAACGGTGGAAGAGCACTGCAGGAGGTGGGGAGTAGATTTCCTAGAAAAGATAACAAGGAAGAATCTGATTGGAAAAGTAGTGGCCCTTTGATGAGGTATGAGAAAGATTGTGGGAACCCTTGTGGGAGAGTAGAGATCACTGTAGTGGGAGAAGACAGGGGGAAAGGCAGGATCATCACATGACAAAAGCAGGGTCGCGGGTATGAGGTATCAGAAAATAATGTGGGGCCCCTAATAAGAAGGAGTTGAATGCTCTTCCAAGGGGGAAGGCAGGAGACTGAAGGGAACTCAGTATGATAAAAATCGGGGGCTCTTGTGTGAAGGGCAAGGATGTATTCTAGTACCCCCATCGCATTAAAGAAGATGAGAAAATGAGGAGAACCGACACAGAAAGAGGAGGGCTTACCACTATGTGAAATAGGGAGACAACAGTGAGATAGAACAGGGTATACTGTGGGGTCACACGTGGGTGAAGATATGAAGCACTTCAGCCAGTGTGAGAGAATTGTGGGGAAAGGGTGCAACCCAGTGTGGGTAAAAGGAGAGCTATTAAGAGAGCACAGGAAATATTTTGGGATTCTTAGTAGGGAGTCCCAACTATGGAATTCTAGTAAGATTTTAGTGGGTGGGAAAATGGTGGGCCTCCTAGTTGGATGTATTGGTGGGATTTGTAGTGTGAGCGGGCAGTTTAAGGACATGGGGTATGTTGTTTCCTCAATCAGGTAGGGCGGGGACTCCCAGAAGGAGAGCACAAGGCGCAAGTGGTTGCTCTGCATGAGAAAAGGGGGCCCTAGTGGGAAGCGCCGGGAAATTATTGTGGGTAGAGCAAGGAAATAAGGAACCCTAAGTGGGAGGCGATGGCGATATGGTGGGACCCTCGTGGGAGGGCTCAGGAAATATTGTGGGAAGCCAGAGGCTGGAGACTGGGAGCTCTCCAAGGAACGAAAGGAAAGCCGCAGAGTGAGGGCTGAGAACACAGGGGACACCTCTGTGAAGGGTAGGGTGGACGATTATGCTGGAGCATAATTTCCCCACCTTAGGTGCCCAGCTCCACTTACCCAGGCAGAGTTCAAAGACGTAGGCATAGTAGGACCAGAGCACGACGAGGACAATAACAAGCACTGGTACCCAGGAAAGGACCCGGCGGCAGCACCGTAGCCCCCCGGACAGAGCCATCTTCCAACCCCGCCGCATCTTCGGCTCGAAGATCGACCGACCAGGCCTGCTGGCGCTGGGTCGGAACTGCTTGGGCGGCGGCTGGGAGGCGGGAAGGCGCGCTGTGCGGCGCTCCACTGCCTAGCCTGGCGGGAACCGTCTCGCCTAGCCGATGCCACCTGTGGGGCCGCGAGGCTGAGCGCGTCCAGCCTGGCACGATAGGCGTGAGTCACGGCGTGGAGGAACTGGCCATGTTGGAACGGAAGGTGGTCCGTCAGGCAGTCGAGGCTGGGCACGCACCGAAGGAGTGCAGTCCCTCCCCTTCCCGCCTCTCCCCCTCATCCTCCACCCCTCGCCTCAGCTCTAGATGCAAGCTGGACCTCTGCAAAACTGTAAAGCGGAAGGAATTTGGGTCCGCCCATCTGCTCTTACTGCACTGCGTCCACCCTGTTCTCTTCGATCTCTGTCTCTCTCTGTCTCTCTCTGTCTCCGTCTCTTTGTCTCTCCCTCCCGCCTCTTTCTCTCTCCCTCTTACTGCTCCCCCCCCCCACTCTTACACACACACACAAACACACACGGCTACACATGCACGCGGTGTGAAAGATGCGAACCGTAGCGTCTTTTGACATAAAGGTCATGCGCTCCATCCTCCCACTGCTGCTTGAACTCTATGCTTAACACGTAGTGCCCCATTGCCGCAGTCGCTGCTTGGGTAAGTCCATTGACGTGACGCTCCCTCCTTCCCTCCCCGCAGAGTTAGCTCAGTATATTTTCAGAGCAAACACATTGGTACAGAAAAACAAATGGAAGAGACAGTGATGCTGGGAGTGGTCAGGGAAAGCTCCAAGGTAGTGATATTTAAGCTGAGCTTTATTAATAAATTAGGGTTTTCCAGGCAGTTGAGATGGGGAGGAACTTTCAGACAGAGGAAGCAGCATTTGCAAAGGCATGAAGTTATGAAAGTCCAAAAGTATTCTGGGAACAGCTGATGTAGCTTGAGGAAAGTGTGTGTTAAGAAGAGAGTCTGCGAATGAAACTGGGAGTATAAACTGAGGCCATGGTGTGAAGACTTATATGCCCCGCCAGCGTGTGGGGACATAGTCCTGTGAAGCAGATTATGAACATCCATCAAAGGTTTTGGAATAATGGAGTGACATCAGAGATGTATTTTTGTAGAACTGGCAGGATTTTGGAGATGAAGATGGCCTGGAAGCCAATTGCCAAATGTTTCTGAAGTGGTTGTTTTCTGTTAGGTCAACTTTGGTATTAATATAAAAAGAATGACAAAACAGGGGACCTGTCCCCAAGAAGCTCATGTTCTCATTGGCAGTAAGAGTTCATTGACACAAGTATAACAGAAGTAGGTAGGCTCTTGGCATTTATGGATTTGACACTGTTTCAATGATTTCCAAAGTTCTGATACATGAAAAAATTGGTTTGTTTGCTGAAACCTATGTTTGATTTGCATTCTGTGTGACTACTGTATGGGAGGAAGGGTTTCTACAAGGTTGCTCTCCCTTCTTTATTTATGGTTATATTTGCAATAAACTTCCTGAAGTGGTAAGAGTTCTATTGTTTCTTTTTGGATTAAGTTAACTTAATGGTTGATGTTGCTAAAATCATGATGTAATGAAATGCAGAGTTCATTTTAGTTACAATGTTTAAAAGCATGATTAATTATTTGAGCCTTAAGATTCTAATGTGGATACTTTAATGTTTCATTGTTCATGAATTTGGGGATCTTGGAACATATATCTTGGAATTATCAAGGGCATACTATTTAAACCAAGTAGCCTTGAGGAGGAGGCAATGATTAAATGTGAAAGAGAAAGTCTGAGTTGGGATTTAAGGAGAGGTTTCTGGGCAAAAGGAAATATGTAGTGGCAAAGATGTGAAATATCACAGCATATTTGGGGGTACTGAGAATAATCTGGTCTTCCTGGAGGATACTACAGCAGTCTAATTCAGAGGTGATAAGAGCCTGGGTCCAAGACTGGGGATAAGGGGATGAAGTGAGGGGGCAGATATAATAGTGTTTTGGGGAGACAATCAACAGAATTTGTCAACAAATTGTCAGGTGAGGAGTGAGATAAATTAAAGCCAGCAACCAGATCTCTATCTTCAATGCCTGGATGAACAATGTTGCCAATTGCCATAACAGGGGCTATTGTGAGAAGAGCAGGTTTGATGGCAGAATGTGATAACTTTCATTTTCGGACATGATGAGTTTTGCCTAAATCCTCCTCTTCTAAGGTACCCTCAACACCAATCAAATCATCTGGGGCAGGGTGCTTATGGATAGTTCATACCCAGAGCAGCATGGAGGGCTAAGACCCAGAGAGACAAACCAAGTTCAAGTGTATATAGAGCAGGGGTTGGCAAACTATGCTCATGAACCAAATATGGCCCAAAGATTGTTGTTTATGAATAAAGTTTTATTGTAACACATTCATGTCTACTTGATTATCTATAGTCTATAGCTGTTTTGTACAATGGTGGAGTTGAGTACTCATGGCATAGATCATATGGCACACAAAGCCTACATTTTTTAAAAGTGTTTTTTAAAGGCTTTACTTTTTGAGAGCAGTTTTAGAGTAGCAGCAAAATTGAAAGGAAGGTTCAGAGATTTCCCATAAATCCCCTGACCCCACATGCATAGCCTCCCCTATTATCAATGTCCTCCACCAAAATGGAACATTTGTTATAATCTGTGAATCTACGTTGACACATCATTATCTTCCAAATTCCATAGTTATATTAGCGTTAACTGTGGTGTTGTACAATCTATGGGTTTGGACAAATGTATAGTGACATGTATCTACCATTATAGTATCATATGTAGCATTTCCACTGCCCTAAAAATCCTCTATGTTCTGCTGATTCATCTCTTCCTCCCCATAACCCCTGGTAACCACTAATCTTTTTACTATTACTTTTGCTTTTTCCAGAATGTCATATAGCTAGAATCATACAGTATGTAACCTTTCCAGATTGATTTCTTTCATTTAGTTATATACATTTAAGATTCCTCCATGTCTTTCAATGGCTTCGTAGCTCATTTCTTTTTAGTGCTGAAAAATATTCCATTGTCTGGATGTACCACAGTTTATCCATTACCTACTGAAGGACATCTTGGTTGCTTCCATGTTTTTACAATTATGAATAAAGCTGCTATAAACATCTGTGTGCAAGTTTTTGTATGGACATAAGTTTTCAGCTCATTTGGGTAAATACCAAGGAGTGGGATTGTTGGATCATATGGGAAGAGTATGTTTAGTTTTATAAGAGAGTGCCAAAGTGTCTTCCAAAGTGGCTATAACATTTTGCATTTCCACCAGCACTCACTGAGAGTTCCTGTTTTTCTACACGCTCACAAGCATTTGGTATGGTCAGTATTTCTTTCTCTTCAAGTTTTTGGAAGAGTTTGATAAAGATTGGCACTAATTCTTTTTAAATATTTGGTAGAATTCACTGTTAAAATCATGTGGTCCTGTGGTGTTCTTTGTTGGGAGATTATTGATTACTGATTCCATCTCCTTACTTGTTATTGGTCTGTTCAGATTTTTTATTTCTTCTTAATTCGGTGTTAGTTGTATATTTCTCAAAATTTATCCAATTCTTTAAGGTTCTCCTGTTGTTCACATATAATTGTCCATAGTAATCCCTTATGATCCTTGTATTTCCATGAAAAAAGGAAGAAAAAATACAAATAAATAAATAAAATTATAAATGAAATAGCTATTCTCTATTTGATTTATTTCTGTTCTAGTCTTTATTAGTTCCTTCTTAACTTTGGGCTTAGTTTGTTCTTCTTTTTCTAGTTCTTTGAAATTAAACTTGGGTTGTTTGAGATCTTTCTTCTTTTTTAATGTAGACATTTATTGCTATAAACTTTCCTTTAGTCCTTTTTTGCTTCATCCCATACATTTTGGTATGTTGTGTTTTCATTTTTATTTGTGTTAGGTATTTTTAAAATTTCCTTTTGATTTTCTCTTTGATCCAGTGTTTGTTCAAGACTATGTTATTTAGTTTTCATGTATTTGTGAATTTTCTCATTTTCTGATTTTTAGTTTTATTTCACTGTGGTCAGAAAAGATATTTAGAATGATTTCAGTTTTCTCAAATTTGTTAAGATTTATTTTTTTGACCTAACATATGATATATCCTGGAGAAATTTCTGTGTGCTCTTGAGAAGAATATTTGCTATTAGGTGGAAAGTTCTGTATATGTCTGTTAGGTCCATTTGGTCTATAGTTTTATTCAAGTCAGCTGTCTCTTTATTGATGTTCTGTCTGAGTGTTCTATCTATTATTAAAAGTTGGGTATTTGCACTTCTGAGTATATATCTAAAGGAATTAAACAAGCTGAGCTGAAACAATGTAGGAAAGATGATGGCTAAGAAGGAGGGGGAATTGACTCAAAGTTATTTCATGGCAAAGAAGGCTAGAGGGGCCAAGCACTGTGGCTCATACCTATAATCCCAGCACTTTGGGAGGCTGAGGTACAGGGATCACTTTAGGCTAGAATTTGAGACCAGACTGGGCAATAGAGTGAGACCCTTTCTCTACAAAAATAGCCAGGTATAGTGGTACATGCCTGTAGTCCTAGCTAGTTGGGAGGCTGAGGCAGGAGGATTGTTCAAGCTCAGGAGTGTGAAGCTGCAGTGAGCCATGATCATGCCACTGCACTCTAGACAGGGTGTCAGAGCAAGACCCCATCTCTTAAAAAAAAAAAAAGTAAAAGCCAGAGGCAGGAATTTGAAACCAAGACGCAGAGCCAGATAGCCCAAACCAGGGAAGGGAGATTAAAAGATGAGAGCAAGAACAAATGCAAATGAGTTTGAATCAATGGCAGCGTAAATTGCAATGGGTGGTTGGGGTAGTGAGAATGAGAGTATGTTTTTAGGGGTCGTAAGGTCTGAGGTGATTATTAAAATGCCTATTAGTGCTTGTAGCTTAGTTTTATGAGTCAGCCGAACAATGGCAAACATTACCCTTTTCTGAGTACAGAAAAGGGTACACTTCTTGGGGCATACTATTTCTATTAAATAGATATGCCTGAAGGAAAATGTTGAGATATTTTGGAGTGTTTTTTAGTGGCAGGAAAGCTCTCATGACTGTTGTTCTAGCTGATACCCATCCAATTGCACCAAGTATTGCAGCTGATTAGTATGGGTGGCAAATACTTCTTTCTCCATATATTCTCACTCCCCATGTGAATTTTCCCAGGCAGGTGGAGAAGCGTGGGATAGCTTTGATAGGTAGGAAGTAGCAGGGAGTGAAGAGATATTAAAACCGTATGGGTGGGAAATAATTAGAACTTGGAAGGCTTGGTCTCCAATATCCACAGATATTACTGGCAGGGTTAGATAACGGTGACTGTCTGAAAAAAAGAAGATAGCATGTTACACTTCTATATCTTCCCTGGAGCTATTCAGCATACTGTCGTGTAGATCTTCT